ATGAAAACTAAAAAATGTGCAGTATACTGTTTATATGTATTTACATGCAATATAATGTGTCTGTGCAGTCAAACTATAATAATTCTATGTAATAAAACTGGAGAAAAAAAAGATTAAAAAAAGAGTAAACCTAAACTCTTATCTCACACCATAATCAAAAATTAACTCAAAATAGATTATAGACCTAAATGTATGAGCTAAAACAAACAAACTAACCAAAAACTCTTAGGGAAAAACATAGTCGAAAAATCTTTGTGACCTTGTGTTGGCCAAGATTTCTTAGATATGACACCAAAAGAAAAAATAATATATTGGACTTCACTAGAATTAAAATATTTTGACCTTCAAAGACACAAATAAGTAAATGAAATGACAAGCCATGAACTGGGGGAAAATATTAATAAATCAAATATATAATAATGAACTGATTTTTAGAATATGTGAAATATCCTTTCAACTCAGTAATTATACAAATGACCCAACTGACAAATAGGTAAAAGGTTTGAAATAGACATTTCACCAAAAAGATACACTAAAGACCCATAAACACATGAAGAAAATGTTCAAACTTATTAGTCATTGGGAAGATGTAAATTAAAACAACAAGGAGATACCATTTCACACCCACTAGAATGGCTATACTCAAAAAGACAGTAGGAAGTGTTGATGAGAATGTGGAGAAACTGGAACCCTCACATATTTCTGATGGGAAGGTAAAATGGTAGAGCTGGTTTGGTAAACAATTTGGCAGTTTCTTAAAACATTAAAGTAAATCTATCATAGGACCTAGCAATTTCACTCCTAGATATGTACCCAAAAGAGATGAAAAGATGTCCACAAAAAGACTTGTGTACAAATGTTCATAGCTGCATTACTTATAATAGGAAATCCAAATGGCCATCAACTTTTGAATGGTTAAACAAAATGTAGTATATGCATACAATGGAACAATGTTCAGCCTTTAAAAGGAACAAAGTACTGATACATGGATGAAACTCAAAAACACTACGCTAAAGTGAAATAAGCCAGTTACAAAAGAATACATACCGCGTGATTCCACTTATATGAAATGTCCAGAAAAGATAAATCGATAGAGACTAAAAGTAGATTATTGGTTGCTTCGGGCTGGGGGTAGGAATGGGGGATGACTGCAAATGGGTAAGAGAGATCCTTTTGGGGTGATGGAAATATTCTAAGTTGGATTGTAGTGATAGTTGTACAACTCTTAAATGATCCTAAATATCATTAGCTTGTATACTAAAAACTGGTGAATTTTATGGTATGTAAATGATACTTTAAAAAAGCTGTTATTTTAAAAAATTGGAAAAAAGCTTAATTTTTTTTTTACTCTCCACTTAAAAGGGAGTACTTTCTTGGCAGAGAACTTCATAGATTCTGTTCTAATACCAGCACTGTTCCTGGGAAGATAAAATTGGAGATTAAGCTTCAAGAATACATGAGGGGAAATGTTTTCCACTAATGTAGGCTGAAATTCACATGTTCAGCCATTCACACATCACGTTAGCATAGAGTTCCTGTGCTATGGTTAATTTTATAACTCTGTCAGAGATTTTAAAATAGCACACACAGTTTTATATACATCAGGTGAAATGATAAACCTGGCTAAATTTTGGTTGACAAGTACGCAAGCAAATTTCAGCTGTTATTAGAAAAAAACTTTATTACCAAAGGTACATATGGACTCATTTTTAGCTGTACGTCTGGTGAGATTTCACAGGGCAGTGATGTCGCTGAGAGGCATATGCTTCTGGCTTGCTGGGGAAAAAAAAAGAGAGAACATATTTTGAATAAAGATGAACTTTGTGAGGTTTATTTCTCTCCCATCAATATTGAAGAATACAGTTTCTGATTCCTATTCATTTGTATTAATATTTTCCCCAAGAGCATATTTGTGAAGTTTTCTTATGAACACTGTTTCATTCTCCTCTTTTCCAAACAGTATTCCCTTTTCTCCTCTCTAGCCTGTGTGTGAGTGTGTATTAACCTTTGACTCCCTCTCCTCCACAATGCCTCCAATTGTATAGGTTTATTTTGGACACAAAATAGGTGTGACTACCTCCTGAATGGCAAGGGGTTGTTCCATGACCTGTGTAAAACTTATACCTTCTGGGGTTATCGACATGTAGATAAATTTTTATGGTTTCCTTTGAAATACATGTATTCTCTTTCTCTTTCTCCCCCACCCTTTTGCTCTGAGCACTAGGGTGTGGAATGGGGAAAATCAGGCTCTGAAAATGCTTTTTACCCCTTTCATTATTAACTTCTTCCATGATTTCCTTCTACCCCCAGGTGTAGGAATGCAGGGACCTCTGCAAGGGTGTGGTCATAGGGTAAACTTGAAACATTGTTGAATCCAGCTAATCTGGGAGTAATTTTGAAGAATAGAGTTTCTTGAATTATGGTTTACTAAATTTGAACTACTATTCCTTTGTTGGTAGATTATTTGACTGATAGGTTTTTTTTTTAAGATCGCAATTTTTAAGCATTCCCCAAAATCCATTTCTGAAATAGACCTGTACTTTTAGAAGTTAACGAAAAACAGGAACTCTAAATAATTATGGCATCCATGAAAAATTGGAGTTGGTTATTGTTTATACATTCTTTGAATAGCCTTGTAACCCTTAACCATAAATAATTTCACTAGAACCTGAACTCTTTGGAGTAATCTCATGGGGCAATTCTAAGTGCTGTCAGTAAAAAGTGCCCTCTTATTTGACTTCTGCTTCATGCTTTATAACCACATGATTAGTGCTTTATGCCAAATTCCACCCTATCTATATGCATGCCTAATGCTCCCCATGAGATGAAATGTGGTTAACGTTCACAGTGAATTTTATAAGCCACACTATGAAAAACTTCTTTACACCTGTAATCAGCATAATTGCTGGAGGCACTCAGAGCTTTCAAATAGAGCTGTCTAATAATAATATTGTTAAGCATTCAGGATTAGTTCATTCAGCCTAGAATAATAATTAATGTGGATAAGTGTTGTCCAGACTTACGGACACGGGGTGGCAGTTCATTCTCTCTTCCATTGTTATTTGAAACCCTAGTCAGACATTTGGGAGTTAGAAAGGCTTCCCAAAGGCTTTCATCTTAGACGTCTTTTCTCTTAGAAAAATAGATTTTATTTGTAATCAAGAGAACGCTAATCCATTTACACCACTGTTTAAAATGTTTTATGTTAGTTGATGCCGGGAATCACTTTCGAAACTTTCTTTACCAAGTCACAGTTTATCCGGAAAAAATTCTAGTAAATCCTAAAGTGTCTGAGATTTCTTTATATTTACCAGTGATGGATTTGAACAGGCTTTTATCGTGGTACAATCACTATTGGCTTTGATACAGCAATACCACTAGGTAACAAGTCTTGTGGCTGCAAATGCCTTTGTTCTAAAGAACTGTAAAATGAGAATATGATCTAATAAGGTAGTTAATCATTTACCACTTCCTGCTCATCGTCTCCAACTTAGCGCTCAAGGTCTGTGTGTTTCCAGTTTCAATTCCAACGGCTGCAGAAAAAGTTTCCTATAAAAAGAATTTAGAGTTAGCCAGCCCTATTCTGACGCTACAGGCAAATTCTCACAATGCCACAGATAATTCAGCAATAAGGCAAAGCCTGTAACGTGCCCCTCTATTTTAGTGGGTTGAATGGCAGTGAGAATCTGGTGAAAAGTAACTAAGGGGAGAGAAGGTTAAGGAGTGACTAAGCTTCCGGAATGCTTCCTTCTTTAGTAGAAGACTGGCTTGATTTTTATTGTCCTCTGTCTCCCTTTTATGGACGTTCCTACTGGGCCTCCCATTCCCTTAATTCTTTTGCTCTTTCCTCCATTCTCCTCACCTTGAGTTGGTTATTTCAGTTCTAGGGCTTTCAAGCACTGCCCTGAGGTGGGGGGGCTGCAGGAGTTGGTCCCTCATTCTCTCCAGGCATGTATTCATTCATTCATTCATTCATTCGCAAACATTTACCAGGTACCACTTCTGTTCTTGGCTCTGTGCAGGGCACTCGGGTTGCACCTTGAATAGGGCAGTTTCTGTCTAATAGAGAGACTGGCAGTAGGACCCTACAATTCTGATGAGTCAAGTAGCTTCCAAGCTGCAAAGGCTGCTTGCTGTCGTCTGCATAGTGGGTTTGGTTTGATTATTGAAGGTGTACAGATATTTCTATTATTCCTCTTTAAGTGTCTATCCTGCGAGGAGGATGGCAACTTTCAGAGCAGAGGCGTTTAGACTCTCCATCTGGACATTCAGGGAAAGTGGAACTTGTGCATCAAGAATAGATCTGAGCCTTTTACTCAGGAGTTGAGACCAGAAGGGATGAGATGTTAGGTTAAAGCTGACGGTCACAGTTTGTGGTCATCAGGATTCAGACTCCAAGATGGAGACCAGCATACAGGGTATTTATTAGAAAGTGCTCTTGGGATCAATACCTGTAGAAAGAAGGGGAAGGAAACATGACTGTGGTGAGGGAGACATTGAGCTGGGGAACTCTGGAATTGGAATGGCTCTTCAGAGTGGACTCAACTTGATGGAAGAGGGCCAGGCCTTTATACCCACTGTGTTGTTCAGGCATTGGATGTGGACTTCCCTAGTTGGACCTTGAGTGAGATAGTTTTTTTTTCCAGGCAAAGCAATCCCTGAAGGGGGCTGAGAACTGAGAGCTACCAGTAGGCAGCCCTCCTGGTAACCTGCAACAAGTTCTTCATTTCTGAAGGAGGATATGGGCAGCACATCACAGTATCCACCACAGCTTCATGCAACCAATGTTGGAGGGCACTAAGACAATTTACCTAGATCCAATAAACAGGAAATTCAAGCTACCTGGGGCAGAAATGTACCCCTGCCCCGCCTCAACAGTTCACTTGTAATGATACAGTCAAAACATCTAGTAATTAAATTCTAGTCAATTGATTAAATTTTTCTTTTCTCACGTTTGTTCTGGCATTCTAATTTTTTAATTTGTTTTTTGTTGTTGTTGTTGTTGTTGAAGTGTAGTTGATTTACAATGTTAGTTTCAGGTTTTTTTTTAAATTTCTTTAGGGCATTTATTTTAACAGTGGTATTGGGGATTGAACCCAGGACCTCATGCATGCTAAGCATGCACTCTACCACTGAGTTATACCCTCCCTGCCCCTGTTCTGGCCTTTTTAAAAAAAAAAAACACAGCTGGCATAGAGAAGGAAACTTGTTGCTTCTACTCTTCTAGGTTCAATGTCTGGGGCCTGGAAAATCAAACTGATAAAAGACAGATTAACAAGAGGAAAAAGTTTTAATGAGGTACAGGGAGTTCCAAAGAAAAATGTGGCTGAAGGAGGCAGTCAGATGATTGAGGCTTATATACCATTTTAGGCTAAACAAAGGGAAAAGTTTGAGGCTTCCGGGCAGAGAAGATAAATGATGAGAAGGGGAGGGGAGTAAATCTATGGTAAATAAGGGTTGTCATCTATGCAGATAAGAGTCTCTCATGCAAGTAACAAGAGTTGGCTCCAGAAGTAGCTCTCTGTCTGGTACGGACATTTTTACAAAAAGAAATAAGGAAATTTCCTGTATAAGTGTAAATTCCTTTACAAAAGGGGAAATTTATACTTTATTCTTAGGCAGTTAGGGGGAGGGGAAAAAGCTTTTCCTGGGTCTGCTGTTTCTCAATTGCCTTTAGCTCAAAACAATTCTTACGCCAATGTGGCGTATTTTGGGATCGCATATTCTTGTCCCCTTCACTGGTATAAAAGGAATAAAGTTCCTTCTCACTATCTAAATATGATATCACCTTAATAAGAGATTTCAATAATTGTTTCTCCTTCTATAGGACCTCACAATGGAAATTCTGCAAAAAGAGATATCTAATGGTATTTAAAAGGTTGACTATAAGGAAAGATGATGGCATGTTTTCCATATATCTAGGGTGCCTTAAGTCCCTGGTTGCCTGGTACAGTCCTGATCTGTGCCTTTGTTCCAGCATAATTATTAATAGCAGCATAATTATTAATACCCTTTTCACTCTCAAAAGGGCCCCTTTTGGGAGCAATACATTATACGGTGACCTTACAGATACCAGGTAGAATTTGAATATACAAATGATTGTTATGTTTCAAAATAATCCTCTTGAAAGACCAAATAAATACTTATTCCAAAGATGCTGTCATTGATTCCAGCATTTTTAGAATTATACTGTTGGAGTCACTGGCAGCACTAATGTATAAAATATTCACAAGAGCCATCCAATTCCTTTTAATCCGTCTTGGTCTCCGTTTTCCTCTCATTCTCTCACACTATTTTTCACTATCCTAAGAAGAAGCAATCCTGTCACCCACACTTAGAGTCGTTCACCGTGTCCATTGGCCTTGGCTGTGATTAACTTTGTTTCCTAAATCGAAACTTTCTTCCAAGGATGAAAAGGTGAGAATTTTCTACCATTGATTACATCCAAAATCGTGAACCACAGGCACAACTTCCCCTCCCTCCTTCTCCCCTCTCCACTCCTATATGTAATATCAAATAACACAACATCATATAATCATAGCTATTGAGGATTGAAGGGGCTAATACATAACACTCTTCTTTCCCGTGCCTGAGCTCTATACCAATGGTTATAGACAGAAGAGTGGGTGATGGATCTGAAAACATTTGCTGTATTGATGTTGGAGAACATAGTGTAGATGAGCAACAACACTGGGTTTGCCAGTAACGGTAACATTCCCTACATTTTCTCCTCTCATACCCCTGGGAGAACTAGCAAGCTTGTCATCAACCAGTGTTGTGTCTGGTCCCCTGCTGGGAGAGGTCAATTGTTCCGCTCCTATATTTGCCAAACTGCTCCCACAGTCACAACTTCTACTTTTGAGGAGATATCCCTTAACTACTGATGGGCAAGGCAGATTTTGCCAGAAGAAAGATTTGAAATGGGTTAGACTTATACATTAATTAAGTCTACACTAAGGTGGCTTCATGGCTGAAAATCTACTTCCTCTTCTATTTCCCATCCCAAATTACATCCCGCTAAATTTTCCTACTCAGTCTATTAGAGTGTCTGCAGCGAGGTTAAATGACATCATAAAGATACCAAAAACAAAATGCAAAAAAAAATTAAGGATATCCCATATTTGAATATAAATTTCTTCCTACTATGAATTACTCAAGAGAAATTCATATCTTCCATATGTCCCACTTGTAAAGAGTCCAAAAATTAACACTTCAAGTTAAAATCCAGAGATTACGGGGTGTCAGTGTCTGGGTAGAGTTATCAATGCCTTCAGCACCATGGCCTTGGATGCCTCCTAAAAATGAGTGTCATTCTTTTGGGGCCCAGAAATTAGCCTCTATTACATCTCTCTTTTACAGATCTAAATTGTGAACAGGAAACACAAGGTTAACACAACACCGACTCACATCAGTAACGTTTAGTAATTTATAGCGCTAGGGCAGTCTTCCCCAACGAAATGAAATCCCAGACCTAAGGCTCGTGCCGTCTAATCCCATGTTACCGTTGCCAAAGACATAATAGAGACTTGGAGGCATCTGAGGGAAGAATGAGGCAAAGACATTCTTCTGGGTTTCAGCTTCTCCCAAACACCAGGCCATCCATGTGAGTTGTCCAGTGCCTGTAACTTGTCAGCGTAAACTCCTCTGAGGAAATGCACCTGCCCCCCTCCCCCAAGAGGTGAATGTTGACACTAGATATTTACGGTAACTTTAGTGGGAAAGACCTGGGTCATACTCTTGAGATTGCCATTCGAGACATTGATTCCTTCTTGCAAAGGGTGGGAGTTTGAAATGATGCCAGTCACGGACTCCAGATCTTATTTGAATTGCTCTTTTTTTTTAAATCCCAAACAACATCTTTGGAACCTCTTATTTTCCATTTGCCACGGCCCTGTATGTCTAGCACCCTGTGCTATATTCAGATGGTATCTCTGTAGTGACAAGGCTCCTGCATTCTCTTATGAGTGGGCATTCTCAATCATGTGTCACGTTAGAGCGACCTAAGAAACATGCCTCCTCAGGTGTCCCCGTCATCCTCATATATGTTCCAGATTCTGAGCCATAGCTGTGACTGATTATTTCTGGAACCTTTGCCCCTATGAACCTCACGAAGACCATGACCTATGTGGATGTTGGAAACCTAAACCCACGCTCTGAATTTTGTCATGATGTAATCCAGAAGCAAATGGAGGCTGTGGGGTCAAAATGACACCTGAGTCCCCTGGCCTATCCAGAATCCACCTTGGCCCTGAATCTGGAGAATGGATTTTGGGCAGCGTATCTGGCACTGCTTACCTCAGCCCAGCATGAGCACTCAAAAGTCCAAACTGTAAGGGTCTGTCTTGTGCTCGTAACACACCTGTCTGGAAATGTAAAAGCGGCAAATATTTTTCTGTCTCATCCCACAGTGACGATGCTGTAATTCACTGCCCAGGTCCCACTTTGGGAATAAAGGGCTTATTCCTCTGACCCTAAGAGTGATGTCAAGTTGACAGCCCTCAGCTGTTTGCCTCTTTGGGACTTGCCTCGGCTGAAGAGAGCTGTTTTGCCCAAAGTTACACTCCTTCCCAGGGTGACAGATGGTTACCTTTGGGCCCGGCCCTCTGTACCCCCAATTCAGGACAGCTGAAGGGGCGTCCTATCTTCAGGGCTTCCTACAGGATTGGCTGAGGTTTGGTGTGGAATCACAGCTTGACTTCTCTCTCTCCTCAATTCTTCATCTTTCCCTTCCTTTCCTTCCCACACATGTTGATCCCAAGAGCGCTCCCTCAGAAAACTCCCACATGCTGATCTTCATCTCAGAGTCTGCTTGCCAGGGAACAAACCCACAGAACCTCTCAAAGGTCTTGGCTGCGTGCCTGACTTCCGGGCTACAGCCACCCAGCGCAGACTCATATCATTGCTTCTGTCATCGGAAAGCCCCACTCACACCTTTTCTTTATTGTTGTTGTTAATGGAGGCACTGAGATTGAACCCAGGACCTCGTGCATGCTAAGCATGCGCTCTACCACTGAGCTATACCCGCTCACCCCCACTAACACCTTTGTCTCATCTCCTAATACCACTGATTCAGATTGCCTCCACCTTCCCTGAGGTCAAAGGTCAGGCTGTCTGCACAGCTTCAACCATGATTATCATACCAGGATTTACAGCAGCTCCAGGGCCCAGCTATGACCTGACTGGACCAACAGAGGCCCTGGCTTACCCCGCAGCTGCCCTGAGTGTGGGGGAAAATAAAGCTCTCTGGGGTGGGCTTTGATGAACCAGAGAGGACATTGAAGGAGCTTCTCTGAAAACTTCCCACCTAGCTGAGAACTAGTTGAATTTTCTTGAGAAGCTGTGGCCAGCTCGTAACACACCACCTTTATGTGCTCTCCCTCCTTCCTTGGCCCACTTTCCTTTCTCCCTCATTCTTGCTTCCCTGGGACTGCAGTCTCCTGAATAATGCCTTGGTATATAAGCTTGCCTCAGCTTCTAGGGAACCCAGGCTAAAACAGAATGTGACTTAGCAGATATGACATTAATTGACTTTTAAAAATTGAAATATAGTCGATTAACAATGTTGTATTAGTTTCTGGTGTACAGCATAGTGATTCAGATATTATATATATATATATATATTGCTTTTCATATTCTTTCTCATCATAGGTTTTTACGAGATATTGAATATAGTTCCCTGTGCTGTACAGTAGGACCTTGTTGTTTATCTATTTTATATATAGTAGTTAGTATGTACAAATCCTGAACTCCTGGTTTATCCCTTCCCACCCCCTCTCTCCCCTGGTAAGCATAAGTTTTCTATGTCTATGAATCTGTCTCTGTTTTGTAAATAAGTTTGTGTCCTTTTTTTAAGATTCAACATATAAGTGATATCATATGGCAATTTTAATTG